AGCATACAAAATAAAATAAAATAAATAATAAATAAGAGGGAAGGAAGGAAAGAAAGAGGGAGGGAAGTTTGGCCACAGCAACGCGTGGCAGGTACAGCTAGTTAAAAGAATAAAGGTGGAATATAGCAACTAATTCCAAGTTCAATCTGACTCTGTAAAGAATTAGATCCAAAAAAAAAAGAGCTCCAAACTTTATGAATTTATGATAGGGGAAACAGTATTTATATACACATCTTGCAAACAAGGGAGTTTACAAGACAGAATCCAGTTCCAGTCCAGGGTTCACAAAGCCAGTCACACAACAAGTTCAAGATAACACCATCCAGGAAGACATTGCTTCCAGCAACTCAAGAGTCTTTTATGCTAAGGCTACAGGTGTTGCTTGTGGATAGTCTGTTTCTCAACTAATCTGGCAGACCTGCGTAATTGAGTTTTCTCTCTGTGAAATTGCACATGAGAAGGAGCCATTAATCCTTCAGAAGCCTGCCCTGAAGTACTGGCTTCTGCTTCCTCTTCCTGCTGGGACATGGTGGTTCCTTCTGTCAAGAGCTACCCAGGACAGAAGCACCCCTTTGTCTTCAGGCCACCTGCAAATCAAATGCAAGAGCAAAGGTGTTTACAGGTTCTTTCTGTTTGTTTTCCAGACATAATAAACATGTACATCTCCTATTATATTTCTTTCCTCAGCCAGCTGCGCTTCAGATACTACAACTTCCATAATCCCCACTGAGGGAGTGGTGTGTGTTGCAGTGTGGCAAGCGCTGGTCCTTCCCCAGCCCAGAAACCACATAATTGACTGTCTTATGCCACCACCACACTGTTTTCTTTCCCAATTGTAAACTGAGCAGTGTCACCATAATTCTGTAGAACAAATCAGGATACTCTTGTTTGGAACTATTTATGGTTACTGTCTTAAGCTCATTGAACTCAGTGGGAATTACTCTCCATGATTCTGTTATATGCAACTTTCCTTAGTCATACAGAGAAGCTAGTTAGTTAGGCAATCCCTCGTTGTCCGAGTAGGATAGTCATCCAGGATCAGTGTGTTGGTGGGTCCGTAGGTGACTGTGGAGCTGCATCTTCTCCCGCAGTGAGGGCGTTGGTTTCCAGGTGGAAGGCAGTCTCGGTCGGGGTTGGCTTGACGCGCCTTCTTCTTGGCACGTTTCTCTCTTTCACCCTCCATTCGTGCCTCTTCAAATTCTGCAGCACTGCTGGTCACAGCTGACCTCCAGCTGGAGCGCTCATGGGCCAGGGCTTCCCAGTTCTCAGTGTCTATGCCAGAGTTTTTAAGGTTGGCTTTGAGCCCATCTTTAAATCTCTTTTCCTGTCCTCCAACATTCCATTTGCCGTTCTTAAGTTCAGAGTAGAGCAACTGCTTTGGGAGACGGTGGTCAGGCATCCGGACAACGTGGCCGGCCCAGTGGAGTTGATGTTGGAGGACCATCGCTTCAATGCTGGTGGTCTTTGCTTCTTCCAGCACGCTGACGTTTGTCCGCTTGTCTTCCCAGGAGATTTGCAGGATTTTCCGGAGGCAGCGCTGATGGAATCGTTCAAGGAGTTGCATGTGACATCTGTAGACTGTCCACGTCTATTGTCCTCTCAACCCTGGGGGTGATACTATGATACCTGGGTCCGGAAGCTCTGAGAGTTAGACACATTCTGCAACAGCGGTTGTGAATAAGGGAAGGAGAGGCGGCACACTGAGGGCGGGAATATACTTTGTAGTTGCATTTGGTGGAAGGATAGAAAGAAGGGGAGGGTTAGGATAAAATTTAGGGTAAGGTTTAGAGGTAGGGTAAGGTTTTGGGTTAGGATTAGGGTTAGGATTAGGTTTAAGGTTTAGGGTTCAGGTAAGGGCTTAACCATTAAAGAACTCTTACATACCTTTTATAATGTGTTCCGTTTTGCGTTGTGCAAACAGCGCTCCCAAAGGAGCAAAGCTGAATAGCGTAACGCTCAGAGCTTCTGGACCCAGCTTTCATATTATTACCACATTAGGAGCCCCCGGTGGCGCAGTGGGTTAAACCTGTGCTGGCAGGACTGAAGACTGACAGGTTGCAGGTTCGAATCCGGGGAGAGGTGGATGAGCTCCCTCTATCAGCTCCAGCTCCTCATACGGGGACATGAGAGAAGCCTCCCACAAGGATGATAAAAACATCAAATCATCCGGGCACCCCCTGGGCAACATCCTTGCAGACGGCAATTCTCTCACACCAGAAGCGACTTGCAGTTTCTCAAGTTGCTCCTGACACACACACACACACAAAAAAAACCCCCCACAAAAACCACATTGGGATATAAACCGTTTATATCAGTATGCATCCCATATTTTTTCTAGGACTGGATGCATACTGCGTTGAGACAGGATGCAAACTCTCCTCCTCATACCTAATTATTACCACCGTCTCCCAAAACAGTTGCTCTACGCCAGACTCAAGAATTGGAAACGGAATGTTGGTGGGCAGAAAAAGAAAGTGAAACCTTCAAAACACTGGTATAGACACTGAGAACTGGGAAGCCCTGGCCCTTGAGTGCTCCAGCTGGAGGTCAGCTATGACCAGCAGTGGTGCAGAATTTGAAGAGGCACAAATGGAGGGCGAAAGAGAGAAACGTGCCAAGAGGAAGGCGCATCAAGCCAACCCCGACCAGGACTGCCTTCCACCTGGAAACTGATTGCTCTCACTGCGGGAGAACTTCCAGGTCAGGAATAGGGCTCCACAGTCACCTACGGACCCACTGCCAGTACACCGATTGTGCTGTCGCACGCTGGGCCTGTGCATAAGACTGTAGACAGGACATAAATTCTGTGTGCCCAACGGGAGGCCCTTGGATTTCCTTAAAACAGAGTCTTTAGATTGCTTAAAGGTTCAACAAAGTTCTTTATTAATGAAAACAAACAGGTACTTTAAGGCTTTCTTAACAGTCTATTGGCTCTCTCTCTCAATCTTGTCCACAGGGAACAGGCACTATCTTCATAACTTCATAACTGTAACTAATGGGGAAATCCTTAACTTCTAATCTGGGCAGTCTGTCTTTGCCTCTGTTGGCGTTGAGCCCCTGCACCCGGTACCAACTGCTTCTGGCTTCCGCGAGTGACCCTTACCAAGCAGAGCTTTGTAGACTTCCAGGGGAAAAAGAACTCGGGTTTCCATGATGGCTGACTGAAGTCCCTCAACAAAGGAACTGTAGGGCTGTATAACCCCAGCCAAGCTGTGGGCTGTATATCTCCCTGGCAAAGCCGTAGAAGACAAAGCTTTCTACAGGAGCTCTTGGTATTATGTCCTGCATGAAAGGCTCTCTGTGTGAACTGACCCTAAGTGGCTCCTATTCCCTCCAAAACCCAAAAAAGGGGGCGGGACCAGGGAACCTAACGATAATTGACAGGTGGCTTGCCCTATGATTGCAGCCAAAAGATACCACCTATCTGCAGAGTCCCTGAAATTTAGGACTACAACAACCATTCAATGCAAAGCAAACAAAATTGGAACTCCTGGTACACAGAGGCAGCCCTAGGTAATTCTCAATGGTAAGCAAACAGTATTTTGCCCCCCCCCCAACCAATCATTGATATATATTTTCTGTTCGCCAAGGGAGTTCTGTGTGCCATATTTGGTTCAATTCCATCATTGGTGGAGTTCAGAATGCTCTTTGATTGTAGGTCAACTATACATCCCAGTAAATCCACTTGCCTGGCCTGCTTTGGGTCTGGAGGCGTGCCTGAAGACCCGAGCGTGTGCACCAAAAGTCACATCTTCTGACTTTCTCCTCAGCCATTGGGACCAAGAGAGAGAAAGGTGGAGATGCCCACCTTTCCTGAAGGTAGGCGCAAAAACAAAGGAGGGAGCGGAGGTGGGAGATACCTCTAGCCGGAGGGGCTCTCTCTCTCTCTCTCTCTTGGTCCCAATGGCTGAAGAGAAAGTCAGGAGAAGAGGCAACTTTTGGTGTGCACGCTGGGGTCTTCAGACACGCCTCCGGACCCGAAGCGGGCCCACGGTGGCTCCGCCCCTTGGCCCACCCGCAGATTGGGGAGAGGAGAGGAGGCGGGTGGAGCGCGGGGATCGGGAAAGGGAGCCGGTCATGGGGAAGGGATCGAACGCGGAGAATGATTGAGCGCTGGCTCTGCTCGCGCACCCGTGGCTGGGTGGAGCAGGAACGAGAGGGGCTAGGCGAGGCTCAAGGGCCCAGCCCCTTTGGGAAGAGGATCGCCCGGCAGCGAGGCAAGAAAGCCGAGGCTCCCCCCGGACTGCTAGGGCTGTTGTGAGCTGAGGGGGCGCTCCTGAAGTGGCGGTCGAGGGGCATTTACAGAGGTGCCTCTGCGCCCCTGGCAAAAAAAGTGTTCTGCGACTGCTTACTTTGCATAATGGACAAGCTGCCCCTGGACCCACCGCCAGTACTCCGATCTTGGAAGACTATCGTACTCGGACAACAAGGGATCGCCTAAGTAAGCAAGTAAGTACTATAATTCCCAATGCGATCAGGTCCTACAATTCAGTTTGCAAATAATCCATTTCTGCAACGCTTGGCAGACGGATTCTAACCGAATACAGACGGGATGGGGGCAAACATCATGTCTGAAAGCATTGTCTCTGAAGCAGAGTATTTCCTAATGTGATAAGATCCAGAACTGACATATGGTAGCACTTGAATGCAACCTTCTGATTGGCGAGGGGGAGCGGGGGCTTCACATTTCTCTTGGGTGAATAGGGTGATCGTTTTGGTGGTGGTGGCGGGAGGACCTCCAGGCTGCGCCCTTGGTGGGCCACTGCAGCAACACAGGAAAGGGGCGTGCCCTTGCCTCTGTTTGGAAAGGCTCGTGCCGAGGGGGCGTGGCATGGGGCGGACACCTGCGCGCGCTGGCCCCGCCCCCTCCGCGCGCCTCCCTGCGAGAGGTGGGCGTGGCCAGCGGCCCCTTAGCTTTCGCTTCCCCCTGCGCCCTTTTTTCCCTCCGCTCTTCGGGAGGCGGTTACTGTGGCGATGACGTCAAGGCGGGCTGGCGCGGGGGGGCGGGGCTAGCCGGCGGGGAAAGGGAAGATGGCGGCAGGGGCGGCCGCTGGTGGTCTTGCTGCTGCTGCTTCTGCTGTCGGGGCGCCGGGGGACGCCGCGGGTCCGCTCCGGGCGAAGGAGGCGGGGGAGGCCGCGGCTGCGAAGGCGCTGAGGCGAGCCTGAGAAGGAGGGAAGGAGGAAGCAAGCGCTGAAGGGGGCGGGCGGGCCCATGTCCCCGTCCCTCGTCGCCACCGAGTGAAGGGCAGGCAGGCAGGCAGGCGAGGCAGTGGCGGCTGAGGGGCCCGCGGAGGACGAGGACGAGGAAGACGAGGAGGAGAAGCAGGAGGAGGAGGAGGAGGAGAAGGCCACGGCAAGATGAAGTTCGCCGAGCACCTCTCCGCGCACATCACCCCGGAGTGGCGGAAGCAGTACATCCAGTATGAGGTGCGCAAGGGCGCCCAATGGAAGGGGGGGGGGTCTCTTTGGGCCAAGTGGGAGCGGGAAGGAAGGCGGGATTCCTGAGGGAACGGTGTTGCTGAGGAGCAGAGGGCGCCCCCTTGGCCTCGGCCACAGCTTGCTGCCTCGCGCCCTTCCCACCTCTGCGCTCTCTTCCTTCCTTCCTCTCTTCGCTTCTGCTGTCTTTTTGCCTCCCCTCCCTCCCATCCTTCCTTCCTTCCTTGAGATATGCTGCTTTTTTGCCCTGGCTTCCTCCCTTCGGCTCTGCTGTCTTTTTGCCCTTCCTTCCTTCCTTCCTTCCTTGGGCTCTGCTGTCTTTTTGCCCTTCCGCCCTTTCTTCCTTCATTTCTTGAGATATGCTGTCATTTTGCCTGCCCTTCCTTCCTTGGGATATGCTGCTTTTTTGCCCTCCCTTCTGCTCTGCTGACTTTTTACCTTTCCTTCCTTCCTACCTTTCCTTCCTTCCTTCCTTGGGCTCTACTGTCTTTTTGCCCTTCCTTCCTTCCTTCCTTCCTTCCTTGAGATATGCTGTCTTTTTGCCCTTTCTTCCTTCCTTCTTTCCTTCCTTCCTTCCTTCCTTCCTTCCTTCCTTCCTTCCTTCCTTCCTTGGGATATGCTACTTTTTTTTGCCCTCGCTTCCTCTCTTTGGCTCTGCCGTCTTTTTACCTTTCCTTCCTAACATTCCTTCCTTCCTTGGGATCTGCAGCGTTTTTGCCCTCCCTCCCTCCATTTCTATTGCCTTTTTGCCTCTCCTTCTGTCCTTCCTTCTGTCCTTCCTTCCTTCCTTGGGATATGCTGCTTTTTTTTGCCCTCGCTTCCTCCCTTCAGCTCTGCTGTCTTTTTACCTTTCCTCCCTCTCTTCCTACCTTTCCTTCCTTCCTTCCTTCCTTCCTTCCTTCTCCTTCCTTCCTTCCTTCCTTCCTTCCTTCCTTCCTTGGGATATGCTGCTTTTTGCCTCCCCTCCCTCCAGCTCTATTGCCTTTTTGCCCTTCCTTACTTACATCCATCCATCCATCCTTCCTTCCTTCCTTCAGCTCTGCTGTCTTTTTGCCCTTCCTTCCTTTCTTCCTTGGGATATGCTGCTGCTTTTTTTTGCCCTCGCTTCCTCCTTTTGGCTCTACTGTCTTTTTACCTTTCCTTCCTACCCTCGCTCCTTTCCTTCCTTGGGATCTGCAGCTTTTTTGCCCTTCCTTCCTCCAGCTCTATTGCCTTTTTGCTTCTCCCTCCCTCCCTCCCTCCCTTGGGCTCTGCTACCTTTTTATTGCCCTCCCTTCCTTCCTTGGGATCCGCAGCTTTTTTGCCCTTCCTTCCTTGAGATCCGCAGCTTTTTTGCCCTTCTTTTCTTGGGCTGTGCTGTCTCTTTGCCTCTTTCCTTCTCTTCCTTCCTTCAACTCTTCTGCCTTTTAACCCTTCCTTCCTGCCATCCTTACTTTCCTTCAGTTCTGCTACCTTTTTGCCTCTCCTTCCCTCCCTCCCCATCCCTCCTTCCCCTTCCTTCTTTCCTTATTCCCTCAAGTTCTCCTGTAGCTCTTCTTTCCCCCCCTTGTGTTCGACTGTCCTCTCAAGGCCACACCTCTCCCTATTTCTAACTGGCAAACCTGCTCGGTGTGCCTCTGTTTACAGCCTTCTCTCCTTTGTTGAAGGACACAAAGAGATGTCACTGCAGCTGGGTGGCTTTTCCCTTCAAGCCCACCTCTCCCCCCACATCCTTGTGGCCAAAGATGCAGGGAAAAAGTAGGCGTGGAGCTCATGTGTCAAAGCCAAGGCCCAGGGGCTGAATCCAGCTCTCCTATGTCATGACTAGAGCTGATGGGAGTTGTGATATAGGAACATCTGGGAGGCTGCTATTTGTTCTATTAAGTCAAGAGACTAGGGGTTGGATTTAAAAATAAGGCATGTGGGTATCATAGAATCATAAAATAATAGAGTTGCAAGAGACCACATGGGCCAGCTAGTCCAACCCCCTGGCACGCAGGAAAAGCGCAATCATGATTGTGTTTTTCCTGACGATGATGATGATGTTTGCTACTGGAACATGGCCATACAGCCTGAAAAACTCACAGCAACCCAGTGATTCTGGCCATGAAAGCCTTCAACAAAAACATTGAACGTCTCTACGGGGAGAAACTGTTCCAAGACACACTTAGATTGGATAAAATACTGAAACATGGCCATACAGGCCAACCCCCCTCCCCCCGCAACCCATGATGATGATGATGATGATGATTTATATCCCGCTTTTTCTCTCCATACGGAGACTCAAATCAGCTCACAACGAAAAACATTAGATCATATCTGACTTTAACTTGTCCTTGAGCTTTTCCCCAGTCTCAGAGCCATAAGTGCAGATGGGTTCAATCCACATTGTCCCCAGTCTGCTGATAATTTAAGGGATGGAGTTGTTGTTCAATGTTATTATTATTCATAACCCACTTTATCTCCTCAAAGGGGATTCAAAACAGCTTGACATAAGAGCATTAAAATACAAACATTAAAACAGTATTAAACATACAGCACTAAAATGAAAGAGCACCCACCACTATGTAAAAAACAGGATAGTTAGCCCTCTATCTATAGCCTGTCCGATAGGAGTTGTGATAGGAACATCTGGGAGGCTGCCATTGGGACAGGAGACTGGGGTTTGGATTTAGGTTGAAGGCTTGTGGGTATGATATCTGACTTTGACATGTCTTTGAGTCTTTCTCCAACCACAGCCACAAGTGCAGATAGTTTGTAGTCCCCATTGTCCCCAGTCTATGTGGTGGATAATTTAAAGGGATGGGAGTTGTCATTCAATAACATCTGGGGACCCAAATTATTATTATTATTATTGTTATTATATTTATTTATACCTTGCTTTATCTCCCCAAAGGGGACTTAAAACAGCTTGACATAAAGGCTTTAGTATACAATTTAAAACATACAAATATACAAATGTTAAAACAGAATTAAACACAAACAGCACTAAAAAAAATCACAGTTAAAATCCATCAAAATATATTCCAAGTTAAATTGGGTTAAAAGCTAAAGAGCTCCCATCACTATGTAACGAACAGGATAGCTGGCCCTCTATCTATATCCACTCAGTCTCTGTCTATGGGTTCAGTGGCCCAAGAAAGAAGAATCTCCAGTTATCAAGAGAAAAGGCAAGCATAAGGTCAATATGGTCCTTGATGAAAATGAGTCTGATGCCCCTTCCTTAGTGGTTACCTGGCAGGCCCTTGGGAAGGAAGCTAGGTGGCACCCTCTTCCATGGCTGCTGATACCATCCAGTTTTGACCGCTTCACATTTATTAATTATTCCAAACAGACCCTGACCCCAGAGCTTGCTATCAACTGTATTCTTATTTGATTCCTGAATGTTGAGGATTTGCATGTCTTAGTCCTGAGGCTAGTTTGTGAAAACCTTGATGAGAGCTGTCCTTGTGGGTGTGGTGGCTGTGGAAACACTTCTGGGAGAGACAGGCTACTTGTTTCCCCCACCGCTTGAAGCATCCTGCCTCCCCTGGTCATTTCTTGCTATTTAGTGCATTTGGCTTCATTTTCCAAGTGTTACCATTCTTTTGCGTTCACCTTGTGTTTGATTTGTGTGTTATTTCTTTGAGGCATTCTTCTCATTGTGACATCTTTTCCGTTCCTCACATTGTAAACATACCACGATTTTCCAACAAGGAAGCACAGGCATCTTTTGATAGTAGTATTATGTGAAAATACTTGCCTCTGTTGCTACTGGTACATACCTTCATCTGCAGTCTGTATCTGGACATGTTTTTGATTATTATTTTCTATGTTGCTTATATTTGTGCTATAACAGTGGAGGGGTGTGTCTGTATGAAGCAACCAACATTTCAAAGCCCTGAAGGCTGTGTTCAGGAGCAGGTTTACCTCTCTCGCTCTCCCCGTTGGTTGCGGGGGTGGGGAGAAGGAATAGTGTACGCTACATGTGTATTGTTTGTATGTTTCTGAAAACTGGTTTGTATGTTTGAGGAAGCTAGTTATGTGAGTCCCAGGATGGTGTATAATACCCCTTCCCTTGAACTCTCAGCAAAGGGGTCTTGAAACCAAGGTTACCTCCATCCTACACTTGGAATGACATACTATTTGATGCACAACTGGTGATACAGCTACACCCGCAGGGTTTTTCAGGGTGTAAAAGGGGCCTAAATAATATAAAAGGACCAGTATTTAGATTGGAGACTGCCAATGAATATCATGTATGGTTGCCTGTTGATTTATAGTAACCCTATGACTTTTATTGGGTTTTCTGAGGCAAGGAATCATCAGAGAAGGCTTTCCCAGTTCCTTCCTCAGAAATATAGCCTACAATAATAATAATAATAATAAACTTTATTTATACCCCGCAGGAACTCGGGGTGGCTTACATGAGGCCAAGCCCGGACACATATTACAGCAAGATAAAACCAAAACATAAGCAACAAGCAACAGCATTAAAATTACATTAAAAAGAAAGAAAGAAACCCCGAAAAAATATGAATACAGTAACAGAATAACATTACAATAAACACAATCACAGTGACAGTGGGCAGGCCACATGTGTAGGATAAAATGTTAAAAATACCACACTTGGTATTCATTGGTGATCTCTCATCCTCATACTATCCAAGGCAGATCCTGTTTAGCTTCCAAGATCAGACAAGGTCTGATACTTTTGGAGGATTTAAGCTGGCTAGAACTATAACTTCTCTGTAAGTGGGAAATAAGAACAACAACAACAACTAATGTTTGGCTAGAATAAAACCCTTCACAGGGGAAGAGTTTGGGTAGCAGGAAACTTTACAATTGAAGTTTTCCTTACAAATAAGTCACGATTGCTTATTTTATGATAGACTCTGGATGGGGAAAAGGTAATATCTCCTTCTCATTTTTAGTTAGTCCTTCGGGTGATCTTAAGTAGTAGTTTTGCCTAATAAAGAAATAGTTTTCAACACCACAGTCATGTTTCTGTATACCCCAGATTTATGTTCAAA